TTGGTGCTTTCACTTCCAGAGACAGTTGTAAGCACTGTGTAACTGCCTCGAGGGTGCTTGACCATTTTAACACAACGTGGTGCGATCATCCCCCTTGCGCGGAGTGAGGGTTCTCCACCCCGCACAACATGATCTACTCGACCACCATTATGGTTACCGCCAAAAAAAAAAACCGGAGGAAAAATAAAACCGGTAACCTGGTTGCCGAGCTCACGAAGTGAATTGGCTTGTTTTATAACGTCGTTGCCAAGCGACGAAAACCCAATCCCGATGGCAAACACCGGAGGGGGCGGCTTGTTTTATAACGTCGTTGCCAAGCGACGAAAACCCAACCCCGATGGCAAACACCGGGGGGGGCGGGGAGAAAAAAAAAGGTTTGTTTTTCGGGGGGTCACACAAAGACAGGGGGTAGAAAAAAAAAGGTTTGTTTTCGAGGGGTGATACAAAGACACGGGGGAAAGAGGAAAGGTTTGTTTTGGAGGGGTGACACAAAGACAGAGGGAGAAAAGGCAACCTTTGCAAAACAAGCAGAGAAATGAACGTATTTTTTCGAGGGGTGACAAAAAACAGGCAGAAATGACACACATGTTCACGAACCGCACAAGCACGGGACAACGGGGGTCAACAGAAAGATTTTGTAGGGGGGGGGAGGGGTCAGCTGGTCGGAGCTTTCGTGGTGGCGCACGCGATGCGGTTGAGCAAAAACCAAAAGAAAAAAATGATAAGAGGGGGAGCGAGCAGGAACGAAGGCGGAGGGTTGAAGCCGAGAGAAACAGAATATTTCAACAAATAGCCATCGGAAAAATGGGGCCTGAATCACGAGGGCCAAAAAAAGTCCACGGTACTCGGCACACACGCCGTGGGAAACACAGAAACTGCTATTAATAAATAAATATATGCAAAGACCAGTTCCCAACGGGAGGTTCCTCTCTGTTGGGGAGGGTAGAATTCTACAGTTAGGCAGGCGTCGAGAGACTCCGTCCGACAACAGCATAGTGAATTCGCCGCCTGAGGATTGTGAAAAAAAAAAACGTCACTCGTAAAAACCGTGCGTGTGCCCGCCGTATGTCCCACAATCTCAATCTGCCTTTTGTAAGTCAGGTCTTGGTTCACTGTTCGGTTACAAAAGACGTCACGCATGAAGAGATGGATGGAGTCCGTCCGGAGGAAGTGTCTGACCCCCCCTGCGAGCTCGGACCACACCGGCGCCACCAGCATCGACGAAACGCCTTCGCGAGGAACTACTATACGCTTATGAGGAACTAGAACAGGGAGAGGGGTACACAGACCCTACCCCTTACCCAACTTCCCAGATTGCATGCTTTTAACATCCAACATGTTTACTTGAACGAAAGGCCCCGCGAAGGTTGCAGGGACGCCGGCGACCTCAACATTGCCGCTGATGCGCAGCAGGAAGGGGAGAGGAGGGGGAGTGCGACGAGGTCGCGGGAAGTCCGGCGCAGAATTCAATCTCCTGCCGCCCGGGGAGATGAGATGAGATAAGATGGTAAGATGATAAGATGCCCCAGGGGAACCACCAGGACCGACCTGTTGCCCAAGTCCCAGACAGGCTGGTGTCCGTTGTCTCTCCTGCCAATCTACAGCACCAAGCTAGGAGGGAGGTACCATAGGTCGAGTGCAAAGGCAGGCTGGTGTCCGTTGTCCCTCCTGCCAACTGGCAGCACCAAGCCAGCCGGGAGGTGCTACAGGTTGAGTGGTGAGCGCAACTCCTGGACAGGGTGGTGTCCGTCGTCCCTCCTGCCAATCGACAGCACCAAGCTAGGAGGGGGGTGCTACAGGTCGAGTGGCTGCACTCGACCATTGGCACCTCCGTTCTGTCGTCGTGCTGTCGGTTGACCGGGAAAACGACAGACGTGCTCCGGGAGTTGAGCTCCGTCCTGATGGTGCTCCTGCACTTGACCTGTAGGACTTCCCTCCTGGCCTAGTGCTGTCGCTTGGCACGAGAGAAAACAGTCATCAGCCCGTTCGGGAGTTGAGCTCCGTCCTGGTGGTGCCTCCTGGAGCACCTCACATTCCCACAATAGGGCAGGGTCGGCGGCAGGGGATTGACTGAATAGTCGGACTCCTCGTCGCTCTCCTTGCTCCTAGCCCGATTAACCCGACCGGTCGTTTCGCTTCTTCACAATCTCTTGTTGCGCGCGATTACACGATTTCGCATACAGCACGTCCACCACGTCGTCCCACAAGTTTGAAAACCTGTTTTTTGGTCCCCCACCATTTTTTTTTGTTGCGCTTTTTGGAAATAAGGGGGGTGGGGGCGGGATTCGAGCCCGGTTTTTCGTCCACCAAAACCAAAATAACCTCTTCGTCGACGCCGATGTGAAAAGAGGGAATTGTCCTCGTCCCTGACAGCCCTTAGTGAGATTGTACCCTCCATGAGGGGGGATGCCCAGGTGTGTCAAGAGCACTCCTTCGTATTGTATCACAATACAAGTGATCCCTCCGGAGTGGGCTGATGAGAGCACAGCAGTTCCATCAAGGGATGACGCAGAGAGGGAAAAAAGTAGGCAGCAGGACAACCCACAGCTAACTGCCGGCTGCGGTGCGACGGTTCCTAAAATCAACAACTCGCACAGCTGACATATTTCTTGCTCAAAGAGCCCAGCGAACCTCAACGAAAATAAAAGACGAAGAAAGTACAACTCTGTTAAGAGTACAGTTGTTCCCAGCTCGTCATCACCGAACCCATCACACCTGCACGACAGACGTGGTATCCAGCACGAGCTTGCCGTTCACCTCGCACTCGTACGAGAACCCGGTCAGCCCCCTCCTGTCTCGCGCAAGTAAAGCAAGCAGGTTTGGTGGCGTTTTTTTTTTTTTTGGTCCAGCCAGTGGCGACGGCGACGAAAACCAAAAATGAAACATAAATAGATCATCCCGCACGATACATCGCGGTCCCACTAGTACGGAAACGAACATAAGGGTTGTATGAACCGTTGGTTGGCGTATGTACAACATATAGTTCAAATGTATTTAGTCCAGCCCGCCAGTATAAAACGGGCCGGAAAAAAAAAAACAACGGGCGTCGGATGAAAGCAAGGAATGGCGTGAGGGTCATGCCAGGTATGTGAGTCTCGCCTCCACCGTACTCAACACACCGGGCCCCGCGCGCCTCTCCCACCCGCCAGAGCAGGAGCATACTATAATAGCAGAGAGAGATGGCACATGAGGACAACTACGCACGTGCGAGTCATTTAGGGCTGGAGAAGTACGCCTGTACAATTTGTGCTGTCGACAGAGTCTAGGGTGCTTACACAGGAGCAGCGAAAACGGCACAGGAGGCCCACCTCAAGATGCTCAGGCGGCCGTTGTCCTCTGCCGTCGGGCTTTTCTTCTTCATGCTGAAGGGGATGTCCACCCGCCCCGCGACAAGGTTGAAGAGGTTCGTAGTCCCTGCAGAGCCAGGCACTTCCTGCGCGTTTTTTTTTTTGCGATCGGCAGGTATGTGTGTGGTCATATAATGAGCGTCGACCGCGCTAACCGGCTGACCAGTGAAAAGTGGCATCAGTCTTGGTGCGGTTGAAAACGGAAAACGCTTCCATGAGCGGGGATCCCGTGAGGGGGGGTCATGGGGTACGATAGGCTGTGCCCCAGATTTCAGGTATAAACTGTACCACATAGCAGATCAAACAGAAACGCCCGAATGCGTGTCCATCACAATGGTAGATACGTGGCGAGATACGTGTACTGCTGTAGTACAGTGTGAGGGGTGAGGCTATCTATCGCCAATCATTCGATATTAAACCTTTGCAACATGGATGGCAGGCATGCCCCAGCACAACCAAGACTTCTTCGCATAGCTTGGGGACAAGGGCCAACGCAACAAGAGCGGTAGACCAAGAGGCGACGCATAAGCAGGAGGGCATCAAATTCAGGATGCATATCCGAGCTACGTAGTTTGTCGTATGCATGGCCGTAGGTGCATGTGCTGCGCATGTATGTATGCATGTGTTGCGGGCACGTTGTTCGAGGGAAGACGGACAGAAAGGGATCACAGCCATGAGACCATCCAACGTGGTCGTCTTGGGTAGAGGGTTTAGACTATATAGACTATTCTTGTGTGTCACGCACATACGTAGGTAGATCAGTGAAGTGCACACATCGAAAGAACTGGTATACAAGAAGGAGGAAACACGCATTCGGCCCTGCTATCGTATGATAAACCGTACAAGGACGTCTAATATTATGGTAAGTACTCTTCTGCTCGGCAATTGCTGGCGTGCCTACATTAGGAGCAGTGCAGCAGGTGGCCAAGTACCATTTCGCAGGCCCAATGGCTTTCAGCGTCACCCCCTTCAAGCGTAGCCGGCTGCTGCTGCTGCTACCAGCCACTGTATCGCCTGCACACCGCGGTGCCTTTGGGTGCACTCGGTACGCAGTTTTCCGTGTGCTTACCTTATACGACACAAGATAACACACCTCCTGGACCGATTTTTAAGCTCAATTTTTCAACAGCAGCAAGAGTCGCAGCGCCGAAAGCGGCGGCGTCAAGGCCGTCTGGTCGAGAGCTCTCCGAAAACGTATCGCTTCGTCCATGCATCATCTTCGCCGTGGCGTTATCGAGCTTTGAAACTCGGTCCTGGGGGTGCGTTATCTTGTGTGTTATTCGGTAGTTCCTCTCCCTTGTGCTCGGTACCGACACCGACAACCACCCGCACGTACACGTGCACTCGAGGCCGTTTGCAGGCCCATCTCTTTTTCTACCGGACGCCGCACGTATAGATGGTGCTACCTCTTTCCCACACCCCTTATAAGGTACGTGGTCGATCACCGTCCGCAATCAACACCGTGGGTACACAGCCTCCAATGCTTTTTCCACAAGCACGCGGTAACTTTTATCTCTAGGCTGTTTCGACACTGCTGTAGAGCATCATACCAAGCAACTCGCTCATCATCGCTAACATCCCGCAAGAATACTCCAGCAGAAGCCTATCCCTGCTCAATCATTGTTGCGTCCATACTGCGAGCACTTCACGCAGCGGTGGCGTGACCCTCTTGTCCCATAGTTGGCCTGTCGGTGCAACTCGCCTCTGAAGGAAGGGACGAGAGGCGAGAGGCTAAACTGCAAGGACTGCAAGTCAAGAGAGGTGCGGAACAAAATACTTTATAGTATGTTTGTGACTGCCGTCCGAAACAGCAGATCCCAAGAACATCGGCCCAGGCGGTGTACCTCCCTCCCCATGAACCTCCTCTATGACACACCAACAAAGGGGGCAACTCTTCCTCTGCCTATGTGCCTCACTCGCCTCATAGTCGAGCATGGCCGCTCTCGCCCCTGTCATGCAGTCGTGAAAAAGCGTCAGCAAGTGCTTCTCCCCCCCGCTGTCCACGAGGTGCCAGTTCCGGTTGACTTCCCCATCGAGGATACTCACTTGCTGAGCCATCACCCAGCAGGAGCACGCTCCAGGCCCTTGCTTGGCGTAGAGAATAGAGCGAGAGAACAGCAGTCAAGCTGTTCCGTGTTCCGCGCAGCGGCGGGATCAGAGAGTGCCTGCCAGAGGACAGAAACCACAGGTGTGTCTCCTTTTTCGAACCCAAACGACAGCGCCAACGTCAACGTAGCCGGGGACAGGGTGGAGATATCCCCGGTGTCCAGTGGCCTTTGATCCGGCAAAAGAGTGTGTGCAAGCCGGTTCTGTCAAGGGCTTCGATGACGCCAGGGAAGGTCTTCTTCACACAGGGTGTCAGTAGCCCTCATCCTTCACGAAAAATACGAACAAATGCATGTACCTGGTGACTATTGTCCAAGACTATGCGGCTGGGTGCCATTCATTGTAATAACGGGCCCAGGATATAGCCATCGCGATAAACAACGACCTATCGCATCAAACGGCTACACCGAAAAGTCTAGGTTCGCATCTATGGCAGACGCACGGGCCAATCGTAGATTGTTTGCGGAAATGCATGATGGTAGACTACAGCTTCTTGCGTTCAGACAACAAGCGCTCATCATTCATGTACAAATACAATTGATTGAAATATCGGTGCCTACAGCAGTACCCCTTCACCTTCGTATTAATTCTCGGAACAATGCGCAGCAGTATTGTTGGTATTCTACATTCTGCTCTCTGGGACTTAAATACATCAACTGGATGGAAAGCTTCTGTACATCATCAGCCGTACCCTGAAATGCATACACTTACTACTGTGTGGTTCAGGGACGGTCAATTCACTTACATCGACCATGATACCAATTCTTCCAAGTTCTGCAGTGCTACAGCAGTAGTCTAGTCATGCGCTCTAGACTTGGCGTGCCCACAGACACGACGTTTACTTCCTAGCCCACTCGCATTCCTACCCCCGCACCCCAGCCCTCATCTCCTCAGTCGCTTGGATCTTCAACAACAGCAAACCATGCCTACGAATGCAACGACGCGCTCGCGAAGTAGGACGACGTCCGATCCAACCACACCTAAAAACCGCGACCCGTCGCCACCAGGGCGGATTGATTTCTACACTCACGCGCACAGGCGTCTAGAAATTGAGTCGTTCATTTTCCTCTACCCAGGACCCCTCCGCCGCAACCTTCTTCAGTCCCAAGCCGGAAGCCAGCGAACCACGTGAACAAATACATACGTCGTGCCGCGTTTTGACGACATGGAAATTCGCTCGCTTCATTTCCCAACGGCCGCAGTAGCAAACGTCCTGAGAAGGAAACATGATCAAGAACACCCTCAGATTCAACTCGCATCAGAAGCGCCTTACTCTCTCTCCCAAAGCATGTAGCGTTGATAGCCACGAAAAATGAATCTACACCGTTTTTGCGGTACATCGATGGGTAAGAGGGAGTGCTGGAGGGAAAACTCGCCCGTACCCTGGGTCGCAAGGCGGGGTTTGCCCCGCACCAATTCGCGGCGTTATTCGCCGGGTCGGCCGGCACAACCGATCCCATGCCCCCACGCACACCCCTTACCCCAAACTTAAGTCTAATTCCGCGAGGAAGACCGCCCCTCTTGTACCGGCACACCCCGGAACACGCCCAAAGCCCCATCGCCGCTGTTGCTGCTTCGACCCCAAAAACCTCGATCAAGCCCACGTGATTTCTTCCTCTCCGGGTGGGGGGGGAGCTCAAGCCCTAGGGATTTATTTCACTTAGGGGGGTGCGGGATCGTTCTAGTCGTAGGCTAGGGAGGAGTGCTCTAACGAGTAAGCGCTTCTCTGCTCCGTTCGTTCCTGAGCTGGAACGTCCACCGGCGGGGGCCAGCGGATGTTAGCGAGGATGGGGTCGTGCGCCGCTTGCACGGGCCGGCGAGCCTACCCTCTCGGAACGGAGGGGGCGTACGTACATGCGCAGCGGCGGCGGGTGCAAGGAGCAGGCAGGAGGACTTTCAGTTCGTTGCTTGCCCTTGAAATTTGATCATGTGCCACCCCCTTCGGATGCAAAGCAGGGTTCCTTGTACACCGTATTCTACCAGGAGCGGTACTCCCGTACAGTATTCGCATTCTATGGAGAAGCGCGGGTGTCGCGGGTGTCTGTATCAAGTGGGAGGGGTTGGTGCCGCGGGCAAAACCCCGTTAAGAATAGTCACGAATGAACATGCACCATGTAGGTGGATAAGTGGTCATGCTTCACTTCAATTTCCTGCTGAGTTTTCCCAGTGTCTCCTCTTGCCTACTCTTCCAAGTCATAGCCAACAGAAAACGTTCAACACGTGCCTTATGTAAGCCGGAGTCTGGTGATGTGGGTCCAAACTTTGTAGAATGGTACATAATCTCGTGTTCTCACGGACAGCGTTCTTTCCGCTTCCGTTCGCGGAAACCACACGCAACAGCAGCAGCAACAAGCCGCTGAATCCATTTAGTCTACCGACACATCAAAGCGCCACCCGTAAATTGAACGATTGTGTTTTCTCAAGTTGCCGTCCAAGTCTACGACCTTTCTGCCGACGTACCAAGGCGCCAAACTCAATTGAACGCCCGGGTTTTCTCAAGCGGACACATGCAGACAGCGCTGCTAATTCTGCCGACACACCTAAGCGCCACACACAATCAAAACGCTCGTGTATTCGCTAGCCAGTATGCAACACTGTACCCTGTACCTTGGGGTTGGCGACGCGAGACGGCGTCCGCCCCTTGAGCTTGTGCCGGTAGATGCAAGCATGCGACACCTGGGTACCCCCCCGTGACAGCCCTCCCCTTGCGGCGCGCCGTGGCCCCTCCTTCAGCGGCGACATCGAAACGGTCGACGTCAACGTTGAAAACGGAGGGTTCACACACGAGCAGCAGAGCAGCAGCTTTCGGTAAGGAAATTGGAGAACACCGGGCTGGAACACCATCGACGTAGACGGGTCCAATCCCTTCTCACCTTTGGGAACGCTGTCCCTTCTCTGTTTGCGGCGGAACGTGGGTGTATGTTCACCCATAACACTCCATGGCCATCATCACTGTGTTTTCCCGCTAGACAGGGCTCCTCCTTATAAGCCAATACTAGCGAGACCGGACTCCCTTTTCGAATACGGGGGGAGGCTCGCTTTTTCGTTATTGTTTTTCCCACCCCGCCAGGTCCTTCTAAAGTTAGGAAGTAGAAGCAAGACTGAGCGGGGCCGGGTGGGGGGTGGGGGGGCACAGAGAGCATTGCTCCGGACAGCGGGTCCTCCGGAATCACAAATAAGGTGCTGTCTTTTAGTCTAAGCCCACAAGAAGCACTATCCGTAATCATGCGGCATCGTGGGAAGATACTTCCTGCTGCCATGCATCGTTTGCACGCAAACATACTTGTTCTCGCGTATTACTCGCATAAATCCAACGTATAGCACAGGAGTGCACGCAATCCGAGGGACGCGAGATAATTGTACCACAATGGGGAATCTATCTACAGTAGCACTGTTGTCTCCCGCCCCACCCCTTCTCATCACATGCACGGCAATGAGCACAGCCCTTCTCATCATGTTGTGCGGGGTCGAGAACCCTCATTCCGCGCAAGGGGCATGATCGCACCACGTTGTGTTAAAATGGTCAAGCACCCTCGAGGCAGTTACACAGTGCTTACAACTGTCTCTGGAAGTGAAAGCACCAGAAAATAAATTAATTCATACGCAGCTGTCATCCGTACGCAAGGAAGTAAGCACAAGATGCCGAAAACCCTTAGCAGGATGCAGCGCACCCTTCATGCGACTCGCCGAATATCTCACGGCGCTTCGCGCTTGGTGATGTGAGAGCCTGGTCCGGTGAGAACCCGGCGTGCTCCGTCCCGGCTTTGTAGGGATGCGAGGTCAATGGTCTAACGACTACTGCATGCACGACTATGAGTACACCCCCCCCTTCTCATCACTCTACTCTCGCACCTTGGGGCCCAGCGTCTCCTCGAAACCCAACGTCGTGCCCGCCCTTCTGGCTGCACCGCCAGCGCTCCGCACCTTCCGCCTCCGGGGTGACGCTACCATCCCCGAAGAAGACAAGGATTTGCCGCCACCGCCGTCGCCACCGCCGCCAGCGTGCTTGTGAGGGGCCTTTCCGACGTTCTCTTTCCCACCTTCGACCACCACACTGCTCCCGATATCTACCTGATCTTCGGTGGGAGTTCGAAGCACGTCCCTGGCGTTTTGGAAGAGGCAGTACGGGGGAGGGTCGGTTAGTGGGAGCGAGGGGGTGTGTAGTCATAGCCGTGCATACTGTAGTCGTTAGACCATTGATCTCGCATCCCTACAAAGTCGGCACGGAGCACGCCGGGTTCTTACCGGAACAGATTCGTCAGGGGGAGGGAGGGAGGATGTGGTACTTTATTTGCCAGTTCTCGACGAAACACTGCTCCAACATCGTGTGTAGCGTCATCTTACAATGGCTGGCAGCCAACACAAGCAAGCTTGCTGTACAGAAGGGCGGATTTGTCCGCCGCCAACACTCACTTCGACACATAGTTTCAAATCACGTGTCACACGACCCCTATCTTTCAGCGACCTCTGGCCTGAACCATCTCAGTCCTCCACCCTTCACCAACCAAGACCACGCCGCACAAAGGACCTCCGAATCTTACTCCTACTCCAAGCTCTCCCATCCCATCGCACCCCACACATCCTTTCTCACCCTCGTAAGGTGACAGTCCCGACCGTCCACTGCGACTCGCTCTCGAGATCCCCGTCAACGTCAACTTTTCTTCTGGCGCCACCTCTCCCCCCCTCTCCAAAATACCGGAAACCCTCCCCCCTCGACCCTCCCTCGGTGTCGCTGCCGGTCGGGGTAGACCCCGGGGGGCACGTGGAATCATCCCCCTTGGTGGCCGCCGCCCGCGAATGACGCCGGCTTGTCCGCGTGTCCCCCCGACCGTGGTGATGGACTTCGTCGTGTTTCTGTTCGCTCAGACCCGTTGTTGCAGCCGTTGCTCCTGCTGCTGCAGCGGTGCCAGATCTTCTCGGCTATTGATTGGTCGACAGGGAGTGAGCGAGGCGCATGGTTGAGAACGGAATGCCGATCGATACGTGTTGTTGCTGATGTCTGAAAAACGTTTCCGCCGAGCGACGCGGCCGCGGAAAGAGCGAAAGCCACAAGCCTGAACGACCGCACCGGGGGCAGGGACGGCGTCTCACGATCTACATAGTATTTCGGAAGTACAGAACTACCGAAGCGGATCGTTAGCCAAGCTCCAAGCATCCCCTCCCGTGTTACGCTAGCGGGGTATAGGGCAGCAATCGAGGTTATCACGCCAAGACGTGGTCTGGCAATGTGCCGTTCTGTCATCTTATCGGCGGTATTCTCAAAGCGTGCAAAGCCGAAACTCTTTCACACATCACCATCACCATTACCTAGCCCACGGTACCGCCAACCTTGCCATCGCTGCACTTGACGCCCTACCACCCAGGCCTGACGCTCAGCGCTGTCATCCATGTTTACGAGGCATATCTCACATGCAGGAGCTGCACACCAGGCTATCTACCCCCCCCCCCCCCCCCCCCCCCCCCCCCCCCCCCCCCCCCCCCCCCCCCCC